CAAGAAAGTTTATCCTTTATTCTCTTCAAATCTTGTTAATAACTGGGGCTTGAGTGATACATTTAGTTTATTAAATCCACAAATCCAATGAACCACCCAGTTTTCTGATTTTTCTACTTGAGCTCCTGAGCGTCCAATAATGGTTTCGTTTAAGGAGGGTTGATCGACCGTACATGTGCATCTATTGACAATACAGATGCAATATGTTCCACAAAGGCAATTTTTGCCTACACAGTCTTGAGATACATTACAACTAACATAGGCATTGGACCTCTTGCTGCTCCCAAATGTGAACCAGCAGTCGTACATATTTCAAAAATATTACTCGACATATAAAGGGTTGAAGCATAGGCTCACAGTTGGCTTCGGGAGGTATATATAACCTGTGGGATTTAGTTCCCCTAGTTTTCTGTCTCAGTAGGCCATGGTTGCTCAACTCTAATCAAGGTCCATGCATGGTTTGAATGTAGGAACATCTATTATTTGGAAACTTGATATTTGCCATATTCCTCCCAAATTTAGCAGCAGAGCATTAGCAGCAAAATTGTAGAACCTTTTTTATTATCAAGAAAATTATATGAACTTGAATTCCACTTTCTACATAATAAGAAAGAATATATATACTTTGGCGAAATTTGAAGGAATTGTTAATAAGAGAAGGGTAGAGTTGTTAGAACTTGACTGTGAAATGTGTTTTGACTCATAAGGTGCATCACAAATAATTATAAGATTATTAAGTATCGTCTTTCCCTATAAACGGACACTGTTAACCTTATCACAAAATACTTCTTTCAAATGGCCAGATGACAGTACCTTGTTGTCATCAAAGGCAAACCATCAGACTAAACCATTCAGCCTCGTCCACAAAACAAATCCCCTGCTTAGCAGAAAAACCAGTTACTGCTTGCAAATTTTAAGGCACCTCAAACAATAACAACAAAAATAAAAGAGTGCAATCAGGAAACATAGAATTTTTCTACTGTACGTGATGGCAGAATGTTAGTCTGTCTGTAAGGGTGCTCAATGTCAGCATTCGTTTGTAAGTTTGTGCTCAAGACGAAGTGCAATCAATTCTTATTTCGCACCGAGACAGATGCTAATTTGCTAATTTTCAAATTATGCATATCATGAAGGGAATTCCCAACAGGAAAAATTGATATTAAAATCTAGCTATATGGATCTCATGATCACATTATATCCAAACATTGCTTGTACTCTTCAATTTTTTTCAGTTATCCTTATTGTCTCATAAAGAATAACTGGTAAATTAACATTTTGCCTGATGGTGAATAAATGGTCAATTAACAGATTGCAGTAAAAAGTACAGAAATAGAATAAAAACTGCATGTCAAAACACATAGGCTTTCCCATAGGCTTTTACAGGTCCCAAATAAAAACATAAAATGATTCTGCAATCTGTCAAATCAAATAAAGTTACTAGGAAATGCCTAATCCTCAAATCAGAAAGAGATTGTTGATGGGTTCACCTTGTATGAGAACAAGGAACGAGTTGCGCAGTGTATACAGCCACCCATAGAGCGCAAATCCAATCTCTCCAACGATCACAACTCCAAACTATCCTGTTTTTATTACATTACAGAATCACAATGACGTGTTCTTCCACAGAATAACAAAAACATAAAACTCCAGGAAAGAATTATTAACCATTACAAATAGTGTATTCTGATGACCACTCTCTCAAACAAAGTCTAGAATTATTGAAGTAAGGAAAGGGGATTTAGTCATGAAGGCAGAATGTATTCTTTGAAGTTCAAGCTCAACCGATCAAGTGAAAAAGACCAGTCAAGGTGCAATGAAACACAGAGAAATTGTTATTGCACCATGCTCGTACAGCCTGAAACATATATGCATCACAGGCTATGAATTTTGGTGCCTGCATTTATTGATACCCTTCATTAGCAACTCAAAAGCTCAGATTGGAAAACCATTCTCAACAGCCCTAACTCACTTATGGTACAATTAGAGAAACTTTTTTTCCATCCATTCAAAAAAACCTCATGATCAATATCCAAAAAAAAATAAAACCACATGACCAAAACGCACATTAATCAACCCACAAACAAAGCAAATTACAGACACGTACAATGGTAGCCCTAATGACGAAAGAACAATATATAGAATTGAATCACATACCAAAAATCATGCGGATGTATAAAAAAACAATCTAGAGTAATCATATCATCATAATACAAATGCATTTCTTTGTGGAATGTGAGTCACTAAACAGAACCAATTACCATCACATTAAAATGGAGCAGTTCTTATATCAATAAAAAAATAACTCAGCTACTAAACTGATAGAATACAAAACCCTGAAATGATGCAAATAACAAAATAATCAACAGCCATGAGCAACAAGTTCATTTTACCGACAGTATACACGACAATACAGTGCAGCAAAGCAATCAGAGAACTTTGAAGACCAGAATGGTATAGAATTCCACATCAAATTCAGCCACGTTAACCTCATCATTTTGCTCTTTCATTGCACATCAACCCTTCAAAAATCCGGGAAAAAAGAAAAAAAAAGCAAATTGACAGAAGAATAATATCATTTCTGCTTGCTAAAAATAAGATGGACAATACCCCATCATATAAATTTGTTGAGGCCCAATAAAATTCATGAAAAAAAAAATCAGTGGGCCAAAATCCAAAAACAATCGAAGAACATGAGAAAAACACAAAACCATCGACAAAAATAAGCAGCGAGAAAAGCAATCAGAGAACTTTGAAGACCATTAATAAAATGTGATTCCACATTAAATAAATTCAGATCAAAAGAGCTCATCATTTTGGCTTTGCCATTTACAATCACATGTTTTTGAGCAAAACAAACTCCTGCGCAAGATTTATAAAAGTTCAAATAAAACTGCACAGAGAGAGGAGTTGTTTTTCAGCCCAAAGTTTGAATCTTGCACCTTTAATACCCTTTTTCTCGTTAATTCCTTGAAAGTCTAAAACTTGAACAAACAAGGGGCTATCTGGTGCATCTCTGAGCCTGAAATTAGAGAAATTATTTGCGTACTTGGAATTTTTTTTTTCCTCTTTTTTTTTCGGGTTGTGGCTGCAATGATGGGTTTCGAGAGGCTTTTATAGTGTGTTTAATTAGGGAATTAGGGTTTCGGAGTATGATTAAGGGATTAATAATACTACATGTGATCCCTATTCGCCTGACATTATTTTATTATGGCCCTTCTACTCTTTTCATATTAGATGGTTTTGCTACTCGAGAAATTTTTTTAGCGTGGTCTCTCCAATCAATTCCCATCCAATTTACTTTTAATTCTCGATACGTGGCGTAGCATGAGCTAGAAAAATATTCATTTTTTCTTTTTAACTTGTTAATAATTAATATTATATTGGTTGGAATTAATTTGGATGGAGAAATCATATTAAGAAAGTTTCTAGAGTAGAGGGATCAGATAAATAAACAAAATAGTGAAAGGGTCGAAATAAGAAACTATCATGCTTTCAGGGACCCAATATATAATTAATCCATTGTTGAAAAGAGGATAATGAGTTAATAACCCAAATTACGTCAATCGCATGTCGTTTGCCGTTTTGGAGGGACCTGTGTGTAATATTGCACTATAAACGGATTTTTCCAATAATTTTTGGTTTTTTTTTTTTTTTTCCTCTTGCGGTGTTAGAATCAGGATGAGAAAGGAATAGAAATGAGAAGTTTTTCTTTTATAAAAACATTTCTTCCCACTTACGTATTATTTTAGTTTTTCTTTTATACTCAATTTTTAAAACTTTTTTTATGCTGTTTTCCATGTCTTTTTGCTAGGTTTGATAAAACACACAAACAAAGGGTTTGAGCAATGCTGAGCTAAAAAGAGGGAAAAACAAATGAATATTATTATTAAATATGGACAAGCCATTCAAGGTCATCATTACACCCTTAAGATCACTCAATATCATTCACAGAGGAGATTTAGTTTCAGTTGGCGAACCTTGACAAAGTAATCGAGAAAAATAAAAATAAAAAACCATTACAACCAATCTAAGCAGCTATACAACAAAAGCTTCATTCACCATGAAAAATAGCCATCAAATATAAACATCTCTTGTCTGACAATTATAGGACTACCACTGCAGTAACTGGAACAAATAATGTTTTCACATTTAGCTGTCCTGTAGCCTGTTCTGTACTCACTTCTTCAATCTTTGAAACAACATCAACTGTGGAATGGGAAATCCCCTACTTCGTTCTCAATTAGTGGCGCATGCTTCGATTCTTTATCCAGCTGATTCAGAAACAAAATGGAAAACGTTTTAAGCAAGAACTCAACATCAAATCAAAGAGAAGTGAAAATCTGTCAGTTTACTGCCGAATATCAGAAGAAAATTCGTGTATTTATCATGTTCACAGGGAAGCCAAATAGCCAGGTGAATTATCAAAGATATTGATGGCCATTTGGCAGAAAATTATAGATGAATGCACCTATGTAAACTTTCAAGTGCAACAAAGAATAAACTAGCATTAGTCGATACTCTAATAGTCCAGGACTTGCATCAAGAATTAGAATAACACAACGGAGGAAAAAAAAATTAAAAACCAAGATGGATTATTTGTGACAGGTGGATTTGGAGTAGAAAGAAACAAGAAGGCATGCACGTCAAAAGTAAGAACATTTTCAATTCACCCTCTCTGAATAAATTAAGAACTTCAATATTAGTTAAATGTCCTCTCTTCTCCATCCTGACATTTTGTCAATAAAACCAGAAGAAGAGAATAGCTTCAAACTTACATGAAACAAATCAGAGCTTAGAACTACAAAATCTTTGCTTTGCAAGAGAATTGTAAATCCACATCCATAAAAGCATAGATTCAGCATAACTTAAAGAAGAATTTTACTACCAAGAACCAAAAAGAAAATCCTAAAACATACCTGCCTCAAGACTTTTACTTAAGGGCATTGCTTCCTCAAAAAGTTTTTCACAAGTTTCTCTCAATGAATCATTCTTGGAAGCAATCAACTTGTCGTCATCGACATGTCCATTGTTGACATGGTTAATGAAGCACCTCTTAACTTCCCAGCCAGCATTTCATTCTCCTTTGTCAGAGAAAATAGCTGCATAAAAATATCGTAGCCAAAGAAATCGAGATGGATATTCTAGTCGTGTAAGTATTTTATAATTGATCATCAAAGATTATGCATCAAAATTATCTATGCTTTCCAAAAGAGGGTTGCGTAACTGAAAGAAAGAACTCCGATAAAGAAAGATGGAGCGTTACAATGGTAATCTCATTGAAAACCAAATTTATGGCTATAATTGAGATACAAATACATGTGGTAAATATGCAATATGGTTAATACCTGATTCTGGATGCGTTCCCTTTCCGTGGTTAGTTGCATGATTGTATCCAGGATAAGCTCGGTCCTCGCACTAATTTCTTTGGCACTTGCAGCTTTTGAGTTGTTAGCTTCATCCAATGACATATCCAAGGCTTTCACTCTAGACCTCAAGAAACTGACCTCTTTATCAAGTTCCATGTTAGACTCAGATAATACAATGCATTGCTCCTCTACACCATCTGTCTTACTCTCAGCTTTCATCACCTTAGATTTCAGGTCATCAATTAATGTTTCCATGTCCCAAATTGCAGAATATAACATGTTTTGTTGCTCTTGACTTGCTTCAGATGATGCTTTTGCATGCTGTAATTGGATTTCTGAGTCCCTCAACTGCTTCTCAAGTACAGTCACCTTCTTTGTGCTACTATCTCTACTGTCTTTAAGAAAATTTATTTCCTCCATAAGTTCCACATTTGTATCTGTTAGCTGTGTGATCTTTGTCTCTACAGTCTCAGCCCTTGTTTCTGCTTCATAGATGCTTTCTTTCAGAGACTCGACCAAATTGTCCATTTCACTTAGGTGCTCTTGACTTTCTACATTTATAGCATTTGCATTGTTTAGACGTAACTCAGATTTTTTCAGCTGTTCTTCAAGTGATTTCACTTTTTCCATCAAAATGGGCACTTCAGAACTTCTAGTGATGTGTTCTGCAATGCTGTTCTCAAGCTTCTTTATAGTAGTATCCTTGGCATCCAGCTGTTTTATACAATCTTGCAGTTTAGATCTTAACTCGGCTTCTCGTTGGACTGAACCATTCAAATTAAATTGAAAAATCTGGAGTCGACCAACCATTTCTTTTGAAATCCCCATGAGCACCTCAGAAGCATTTTCTGCCTCTAAAAACCTTCCCCAAACCACTTCTGCTGCTTCTTCCATGCGAAAAGACACCTGTTCCGTATAGTGCAGCTTCAATTTCAGCTGTTCTTCATTTTGTTTTACTGCAGAAATTTTCTTCTGCATATCCATTTCTCTTTTAAGAGACTTCTCCAACATCCTCAGGACATTTCTTTGTTTTTCAGCTGTCTGCCTTTTTGAATTCACATTTGTATTTGAAATCTGCCCATTGGCTGGTAACTCAGTGGCCTTATCATCTTTCCCTGTCAATAAACATATGTCAGACAGGTGATTATTAATGACGGTAAAAATTTCCCATGTGTTTATATTGAAAAGAAAATCATGTAACTTACAGTTCTCAAGTCTGAATGTTGAAAAGGCCATTGGCAATTTTGCTGACTGTGCCTTCACCTCTAAGACACGCTCTCGAAACTTGAACAGCGATTCTTCGGAATTATGCAATTTCTTCTCCATGGTAGTGAATTGTTCTGTTGATTGTCTGCATGAAGATATTTTATGACGCGCATCAACAATCTCTGATTGGATAATTTCCATGAAAATCTCCACCTCTCTTACCTCAGAATCTAAAATCCCAGAGAGAAGATCAAATGTGAATGCCTTCTCAATAGCTATTGTCAAGATATAGCTATTTTCTGTGACCATTGTTGCCTCAAGATTATTATCCCTGGCCAATAGATGCACTAAAAGTACATGCAAGTTTGCCAACTTCTCAAAAGAATATTCCAGGTCACAATCTACTCTGGTTAAAACTTCTGTGGCACTTTCAACCTCTTCCATTCCTTCTCTGCTGGACGAATTTCTACCGTGCATATAAGCTTCGCCTGATTCTAAGTTACTACTGTATGCATTGTCAATGGCGTCATTCTCCATTCCTGCCACTCAATTCCTCAACCTGGGAAGGGAGGAGATAAGCAAGATCCAGTGAACTTTTCATTGCATTTTTCATGAATTGCTACTAATTACCGTACAAGAGGGAGAGGAAAAGTAGGGCCAAGAATGAAATAATTAACAGAGTTATGTCTTCCAAGTAAATATAGCATTCAGTATTAGCATAGATAACTACTTACTTCGTCCAAATAGTAGACAATAGACACAATATTCACAAGATTTAACCAACAGAATACGAGCACCACAACGCTTGCAGTCTAGTATCAACAAAGATCAAAAAGAAATCGAATCACCTAATAGATGGCTTACTACTAGATGCATTGCAACCACTGGACCTTGGGAAGTTGTTTCACTCATTACAAGAGAAAACCCAAATTTACATCCAAGTCGAGTTAGAAGGTTAATTTAGTAACATGGTAAGGCATTCAGGTCTCAATCTAATTCTTCTCAACAAGATCTAAGTTCTTCTACTACATTACCAGGCCACATGTTGAATTTCTATCTACAAGCACCAATATTTTTTACATGGAAAACACACTTGTTTGTTAATATTCCTCTAGATTTTTTGTTCACTTCAGTCACCCCGCTTAAAAAACAACTCTCAACAACAAACCAGAAAGCATTCAAGATAATGATACGGAGTTAGCTAACTTCTCAGTACTCACATAACTCCTTCCTGCATCTCATGTTCACAGGCAGAGCTCACACACTGTCTAAACCGTTTGGAGTACAAACAACACAGTCAGATTATGAAAAAGAGGTTGAAAGGTATTCCCAGCATCCCAATTCACATCACCCCATCCTCACCCACCTCGGATACAATGATGGAAAACTTGATAATTTTCACTTTTACAATACTCCAACAGACAAGCAGATTTATTTTATTGTATTTTATTTTTTGTCAACCTTTTTGTTCCCGTTGAAGTCTTAATTGTTTCGAGAGATGGATATAAATCAAGCTCTTGAAACATAACTTTGATCAGATGAATATGAACTCCCTTTATTATCTAGCATCAGTAACCAGCTACCATTAATGAATTATTTCCATCTCTTAAAGACAAAGACAGAGACTCATCTCACAATTCTTGTCACCCCAACAGCTCATAAAAACGTAAAATCTAGTGAATTAAACCCCAGCAATTTAAAGCATTCTATTAAAGACTACAACATACAACTCCAAAGGATTCATATTTCATTAACAACCCACTAACCTTCCTATCAAAAATGAGCTAAAAAAACGGAAAAAAAGGTACCTTTGAGAGAGAAATCTTGATGGGGTTTGAAGAGGATCCAGGTCAAGAACATAAATTTTCTTGTACTCTCTGTCTGTCCTTAACCGCTGCTACTATACTACCCTCTCATTTCATAAAAACGTTGATTTTCCTGGGATCTGCGTGGCTGGTAGTTAAGTCTAGAAGGAGCCGTGAATGGACTGGTGGCCAGTCAACGTTATTACAAACTGTTGATTATGTTCTGGTTTAAGACAAAGGCTCCCTCTGGCGCACGTTAGATAAAAAAAGTAAAAAAAAGCAACCCCACACTTTAGTTGAATTATTGCGTTCAGACCAAAACAATATTAAAAGTAATTAAGCTCCTGACAATGTTTGGAAGCAACATACAAAATGTCATGTTATGGTCGGCCCATTTATTTCACGGAGGAAAAAGATAAAAGCAAGAATGAAAATTGAGTAGAGTACTCAATGTGAGTGAAGGTATTATTCGTCTTGTGTTTTTTTCTGGTGGGTGGGGTTGAAGGAGACTAATATGGTTTATGAATTTGGGGTGGTCATGATTGACTGCTTTTAATTCCTTGATTTCTTCCTTATTGGGAACAATTTTGCCACTTTCCCATCATTTTTTCTCAATTTGGTTTTGGATTTGGATGGAGTTTATTGCTGGATTAAGGCATTTTAGGATCCCATAATGATGTTAATGACCTTGGAAGTTTCAAGAGTAAAATATATCCATGACCGGATAGACCATGACGTGTAGCATCTTAGTTGACCTAGTATCATATTTTCATCTTAGCTGACCTAATAGTATTTACATAAAAATAATATTTTCAGACTATTACACATTACAAAATTAACTGCATTTGATTGTAAGATACAGTTGTTTTCCTAAAACGAATTGCAAATAACTTGTTGGAATCACCAATGTACTTCCATACTTGCGACCATGAAAAGTTGGTTTATTTGGTGCCTTGAGTGGTAGACATGATGATGAGTGTCATGTTTCTATATTTAATTTCTTCTGCAATTGGTTTTTTATTAATTTTACATGCATACCTAATGAAGTTACTTATATCTTATTTTATGATGTGGGCAGGTTTTGAGGTATGAAAGTTTAATTTGGATCTACATAAACTATTTGATGCTGTTTTAGGCTTTCGGCTGAATCGGGAGTGGTAGACCTCCGTTTTGAGTGATTCTTAGTTCGTTGGAAAGAAGCTAGGATGGAGGCCTATAATTGTCATGAAGGGATCCAAACCCAATTCAGACTTTTGGTGGCTCGAAAATAGCTCAGAAAATCGAGTTACAGAATCTGTAGTGGGCTGGGCTGGTTTGAGTCAGTCTTGGTTTTTGGCCCATAAAGCGTTGGAAAGCTGAGGAGTAGGGCTGCTACTTCTGTGAAAAGGTCAGAATCTAATTTTGCACTTATCCAGGACCAGTCGGAAATCAGCTGCAAATGACGGAACAGAAATCAGATCAACGAAATCCTAACTTATTTAGAAAAACTCCAAAATTTTAGGAGATTGTGGGGAGTGATTCTAGGGATTTTCTGTTCTGTTTTTAGCATATATAGGACGTCCATTAAGGGAGAAAAAGAGGAGGGAGGGAACAGAAAAAAGAACTTTTCTTTGTTTGCACACGATGAGTGTCTGGTTTTATCGTTTCAGTTCAAACCCGTGTCAAATCATGAGACACGTTTTTTATCTCTAAAATATTCTTAATTCAAATACTTATTGTTTTCTTGATTTTAATTATTTATGATGGTATAAATGAGTGTCTGATATGATTAATTGCTAAAATATCATAATCTATAAATGTTATGAATGTTCAGTACACTTAGCAATTAAGTAATGATCATGATCCAAGTTCCTATTGATTACCCAAGAAAAACAAAAAATGAATTAAATAATTTGAGCTTTGTGAAAGTATTATTCACTCTTACCTTTTTCTTCGATGTTGGGCTTGAATCAATGAACGCATAAAAGATTAGAATTTAAGTGGCTTATAAATAATTTTTGGTTAAGTATTTGACAAGATAATAGTAATTTATGTATTTATGATCAATCTATGAATTGAATGTGTAATTTTTCTCAAGCTGAAGTTTTTATCAATTGTAGTTTTTTCACATTTAATTTTTTTTTTTTTTGTTATAATTTCAACATTTCAATATAACCAACCATCTCTCGTTATTATAAGTTACATGAATTGAATAGATTGTGATCCTTAACTAATTATTGAATTCCTAAAATTCGATCTGGTCTTGATAATGCTATAAAGTTTGTGAGAACAATAAATTAATTTTGGTGAATTTAGTAAGTATAACATGAAAAATTGGTCATTGTATAGGCTAATATGTTTGTAAGCAAGCTTAGCCTTTTTAAGGGCTCTCTTCTCTTTTCCAATTTATGCATGGTTAATGATTGTACAGGTTCTTCATCCTTTTGTGTTTGGTTTTTTTTTTATCTTATTCTCGTCTTTATATTAACTTTTAGACTAACAATATTCACTTTTTTTTCCTCCTAACTGCATCCATCTATTCTATTTTTTTTTCTTAATCTTATTTGTTTAATTGAATTTAAAAAATAGAAAAAATTGAAGATATACTCGGCCATTCTCTCAAAAAATTAAAAATAAAATAAAAACTAAAAAAAATAGTGAAGCTAAAAATGTTTTTTATCCAAAATATTCTTTATGAGTTTAAATTTATTTTTAAGATGGTAAGAAAATTTTGAGTATAAAATAAAATATTTATAGTATTTTTTTTAACATGAATAGAGTTTTACTTAAAATTTAAAACTTTTAAATGGTATTTATAATTTTATAATACCTCAAAAGAGTCCTGTAATTTATTTATTTTAATTTTATAAATTTTTTAATTTAATTCAAAAGTGGGAACATAATTTTTTTTATAAAAGTTAGTCATATTAAGAAATTCGTTAGTGTTTGGGTCCAACACTAACAAAATTTTATATTCTCACTTTTGAATCAAATTAAGAAATTTATAAAATTAAAATAAATAAATAATAATAGACTCGTTTAAGATATTATAAAATTGTAAATATAATTCAAAAATTTAAAATTTTAACTAAACTTTATTCACATATAAAAAATACTATAAATATTTTATTTGATGTTCAAAATTTGATTACTATCATATAGACACATTTAAAAAAAATACTAAAATTTGTTTATTTTATACCTCGAATAACGATTGCTCTTCCATCATTTTTTTCATAAAATTCAATGATAAAATAAAATAATAAATTAAATTAAATTACTCGAAAAAAAGCCAAAAAAAAAATCAGGCTAGCTACACCTGGGCTTGGAGAAGCAAGCCAGAGTGGGCCGGCCTTAAAAAAAGATGAAAGGAAGACGCGTTGCCGATTGCAAATTCTAGCAAATTCGAATTTGTCGAAAAATTCACCAAAAAATCGGAACTTCTAGTTTCTGGCATTCCGAATCCAATTTCAACGTTATTTTTGTCTCAAAATACCTTAAAATTACATAAATAAAGGTCAAGAAATCTGTTTGGAACTTCAAAACTCATTTTAATGTAAATAAAATAAACAAAAAAATTCAAAACACACTAACAAACTCAAAATATTATAGAATTTCGATTTATTCTATTTAATTATTTCATGGCTTATGACCAGTATAAACAAACTCATTTCACTGAAATGAATAAATTAA